GGAAAGTTGCAGGGAAAATCATCTCCAGTACTCTTAACGAGTGAAATAATTTTCAAGTTTGCCACTGTGGCAATGATGTGATGCAGATGCTATTTAAAGATGGTGGCTTTGAATTCCTTTGGGAAACAAAGCAAACAAGCCCATAGGACTTAATAGAATTTTCCATGTCAACAGTAGCTTTATATGCAGCATTTATCTCTTTTGCAGTTTCAAATCACTTTATATAAAGCCTACAGAGTATATTTTTGTACATGACATTTCAGTGAAAGAATGAGATAAAATAATAAATTAGATGGGAAAATGTCCACGTAAATATGCTTTTTTTGCTATTCAGTTTAAGAAATATTCCATATATAAGTACTAATGTGGTGCCAAATACTGGCATTGCAATCCAGGGGCATGGTCACATGGGAGGTTATACTGGTTTGATGAAGGCTTTTATGTGTCACACCCTGGCAGTTTGTCCTGGTTGAATTTGCAGTTGTTATTCACCCGGAAATATTTGATTATTCCTGGAAGGTGCAGTGGCATGCAACAACAGGTCAGTGGACCAGCTGGTCCAGGGGAGGGCTGAATGGATGTGCGGCAGCTGTGCTGCCTTGCAGAGATATTCGGATCTAGGTAGCTGAATAATTCAGCACCTTTCTCTAAAGGCTACCATACAAGAATAGTGTATTCTTTTCCTGTCCCAGTTTTCAATCCTAAAATGCTGGAAACAAGCCAAAGAGCAAAATCTTGACAGAACCCACACATTTCTGGCCAGTTGACAATTCTGTTACTGAAGTGTCCAGTGACAAGATGGTTGAGTGTACTACAGTATCTGTAAGCATTGATTGCTGTTTAACATTAAGATGTGACATACTGAGTGGATAGTATGTGAAAGCTCTATTGGTCTTTAAGGCCTAAGTCTTTAATTCTGGATACATTTATGTTAGACAGATCTTACTGACACTATGGACTTACTTATATAGAACTATACTGTCATTTTACATTTAGCTGGATTTAACTACATGTATGGGAAAACAAATAATCTAAAAAGAGCCTTATGTCCCTTTCCACTTGACATATAATGTTTTCAGGAATTGGCAGACTGGTTCTGAGTTCTTGGATTAAAAAATGTCACTGTAGTATTAATGTGTAAAATAAATATTGACCTAGATTTTTAAAGGGCAAAATATCCACATAGAATTTGCAGTGGAAGATTTGTTTTCCAAGCACAGCATTCAAAGATAAAATTGCAGAATGAAGATAAAGATTGTGAGTGAGTTTGTGTATGAGAGGCAGTACATGTAGAGATATTGTACACTGGCCTCTGGGCTAGTAAGAATATATTTTCAGAAATGTATTAGCACTCACCCTGAAAAATCGCATTCTGATTTTAGTCATCAGAAGGTATGCCTGGGTATACTCAGCCTCCAAAATCCACAGAAGGGCATCTCTTCTACTTGATCCAATTACAATTCTTCACTAGCACATAGGCTGTCAATATTTCCAGAACTGTTCAAGTTAGGTGGTAAAAATATTGCCCTTTTAAAGATATAAGCCACCCTGGATCCTTTTAAGAAGAACAATGAGGTAGAAATAAGCAAGCAAGCAAGCAAGCAAGCAAACAAAGTACAGATAGGTCGATACAGAATCTATATTTATGAAACATAAAATAGTTATAGAATCTTAAAGATTTGTGTGCTTGATTAATCTGAAGCTAAATGAACTCGTTTGTGTCTCTGTGGAATTCAAGTCAATGAAAACATTGACAAAAATATGATCAGCTTTGTTCTCTCTCTTGATTATTCCATATGTTCTATTTCAGGTCATGCTTGTCTGTGTTGCAGTTTCCCAGAGTTCCTCAACCAGTATCTTGGGATTCTGGGAGCTGTGGGGGGCATAACTCTTCCAAACTGTGTTCTTGATACTTATTTTCTTGTATGTGATAGTTAAAAATACAAATGTTAAAGAAGCAGGGAAAAAATAGGGATGAAGGAAAAAGCTTGCAATGCCCAAAATTTGGACTAGCCACATGATCTGCAGCTGAACTTAGTCCTTGAACTCACGCAGCATGAGTCTGTTGTTGATGGATAAAAGTGCTTCTTTTAATAGGCATTTTCTCTCTTTTTCTAAGTTACAGCTCTCTGCTCTGTGGTCTCAGGCATCTCTGTGGCCATGAAGGCACTACAAAAAGATAGCTAGTTATACCTTCTAGAATATGGAATGGCCAGACTAACTCTGTTACAAAAACTTCATTGACTGCTGGTCTAACACATTGACTGTTGCCCTGCTTACAGAACTTCCAGAAGTGCTGGCTATGACCCATATGGGTCCAGGCAGTCTGAATGACTGTGTCTCCCTATACAATCCTCTCTAGGTTTAAAGATTTCCAGTAGAGGTCCTTCCCTTGATCCTGCCACTTTCACAGACATATTCAGTGTAGACCCAAGAAAGGGCCTTTTTTGTGGCTACTCCCCGGTGGATCACTGCTGCACTATCCTTCAGGTGATGGGTAGAGACCTCTCTTTCTCTGCAGGTTTTGAACAACTGAATGCAACTGAGTTTTACTGGAAAGCATTGTAAATTTTTGTTGCCTCTCATATGCACCTTTCATGTTTTAAAACTGGTTTTATTATAATTTCTTAAATATTATTGAATCTTTACTTTTTTTAAAAAAATTATCATTTACTGGCTGAAATCTGGTATTAAGCTGCAAGTAGAGTTGCACTGAATCATTGAATCAGTGGGAATTTAGTGAAGTTCCACTGATTCAATGAGCCTGTTTTAGTTATGATTAGTAATAAGTCTCAATCATTACGTTCTGAACTGTATTTGTTGTTAATGATTTATGATTTATCTGTCTCTATATCGGGAGAAAGATAGCATAAAAATTGAATGAATAAATAAATAGCTGTAGTCCAAAAATAAACTTTTTCCAAGTTTGGTACCAAGCCACATGAAACTCTGGGTCTACATGGCATATACTAACAGTAAGACAATTCTTGCATTAAGTTTATGGTGTGTCCTGCCAGTTTATGGTGTGTCCTGCTTGTATAATGACAAAGAGCACAGTTACACATTTCTATGCCAGTGGGGCCTTCCAGACTGTAAAGGCTCAATAGGATACTTACTGACATAACAATGTCTTAAATATAAGGTACTTTTAAATATAAGACATTGTCACTCCAAAAAGGACATTTCAAAGTTCTGCTCTTAGATTCGTATGGATTAAACCTCTCATGAAGGCTGTTTTAAGCTCTTTTAAGGAATGGTGGGTAGAAATGAAAAGGAAAATTTGCAGAGCAATTCTATAAATGTCTCCTGAGAAGACCATCCCCACTTAGTTCAAAGGGATATTCTCTCAAGGCCAGGGGATACAGGATTGCAGTCCAGATACTATATTCATTTCTGACTTGGGGTTTAATCCACATAAGTCTAAGAGCAGAACTTTTAAAAGACATTCTTGGTGATGAAAGTCTCAGGATCATCTCAGTAGCTAGTATGAACAGTTCTTATCTTGGCTGTGGGTTTCTAGAAATGGTCCAAAACAAAAAAACAAAAAACTTGTCCAGGCTCTAAGAGGCAGCTCGGTGTGAGAGTGGTGGTCCTAAATCCACACTTATTAAACTTTTTTGTTCAGCAAGAAAAGTATTTAGGACTGTTTGATCCACATCTGTGTTATTTCCCCCAAAGCACAGTAACAGAACAGTTTTTTCTAGCCAAGATATTTGAAGGCCAATTGAGTGACATTAGGGTAGGTGAGAGGGGCGTGGTGGCGCTGTGGGTTAAACCACAGAAGTCTCTGTGCTCTAAGGTCTGTAGATCTTCAGCTGTAAGATCGAATCCACGTGACGGAGTGAGCGCCCGTCGCTTGTCCCAGCTCCCGCCCACCTAGTAGTTCGAAAGCATGCAAATGCGAGTAGATAAATAGGGACCACCTTGGTGGGAAGGTAACAGCGTTCTGTGTCTAAGTCGCACTGGCCATGTGACCACAGAAGATTGTCTTCGGACCAACGCTGGCTCTATGGCTTGGAAATGGGGATGAGCACCGCCCCCTAGAGTCGAACACGACTGGACAAAAATTTGCAAGGGGAACCTTTACCTTTACCTAGGGCAGGTGAAGTTGGCTCAGCTATTCCAGCATTCAGATGTTGTTAATCACCTTGCTTTGGCCTAACTTTATGCCAGCTTTGTGGCTCTGTTTGCAGACTTGGATCTGGCATATTTTAGTACTTTCTTTCACCAGAAGTTGGGGGCTACAATGGCATGAATGCAGTAAAGCCACTCTGAGTTTCAATCTGAATTGTACATGAGCTGTCCAAGGTTCTGAACCATAGTAAGCCTTGAGTTTCTTTATAAATAAATGCTGGTGTAGGAGGTATTGGGAAAATGTGTTTATTGGGGCTTCCATCTTTCCAAGGTGGACCTACTCTACACAGAATGAGGCAGGCAACACTTTTCTTAAAAAACAGCTTTTGAGAAATACTTTTACTGCAAGGTGAGGAGAGATGTGCTTGTGGGGGGGGTTTATTTGATTTCTCCCCCTCTATGCTAAAATAAAGTAGCTTATAATGGCTGTCTAGTACAACAGCAGTTTTATAGGATAAACCTATACATGTTTCCTCATAAGTATGTCCCACTGGGTTTATTGAGACTAACCACCAGGTAAGTCTGTTGATGCTTTAAGCCCTAATCTTACTGAGTTGAATGAGACATCTAAATAAAGATCTGTTGTGGTTTGTTTGTATGTATCATGTGTGTACTTTCATGTGTCTGGCTCTTCATACCAGGTTTGGGGACCTGTGGCCCTCCAGATGTATTTAAACTGTGTATCCCCAAGTCCCTCACTATTCGCTATGCGGGCTAGGATTAATGGAAGTTGTGAACACATCTGGAGTGCTACAGCTGCCCATCATTGAACTTCTTGTTATCAGCTTATTGGGAAATTTGGAATTTGTATCTTAATATTGCTTCAAATATGTACTTCTTACTAAGAGCTTTATCTTCTCTTTCAGTTGCAAACGAAGCAGGAGACAAATCTGCTCGGCCGCTTTCACGATTTGCTCGTAAGTAGTCTAGTCTTTCTAATTTGCTTCCAGAATGTTACAAATAAAGGCACTAGAACTCCAGGGTTCTACAAAGCCAGAGATGTCTTGTACAAGTATGCCCTGTGTTTGAAGTAGCTTTCTATTCTACATCCCATTAAAAGATTTAAAAAACCCAGTGGCCTTGTAGTTGCTCATCCACAACAACTGAGCAGTCACAAAGTCCTTCTGGTGTGGTAAAATGAGCTGTGCTTTTATGAAATTATACAAATTCTTTCTAACTTTACATCAATACATATAAATCACCACAAGCACATTGTTCTTTTGACTTCTTTCTTGGTGGTATATTTTCTTTTTCTTCCCAATATATAAGATGCCAACCAAAGTGGCTTATATAGTTAAACCTTAGTAAATCAATTTATCAATCAATCAGTCAATAAGCTTATAGATTTTTTAAAAAAAGAAAAGAATATCTACTGTATATAGCTGTATCCCCCCTTCCCTTGGATGCACTATTCCTGCATAGTCACATGATGGCAGTGTAACCATTTTTGGCATGTTGCATGGCTGTAGTAAATTATAGTCATAATGCAAATAAATAGATGACTCTCTCTATGTATGCCTTGTAGCTCTTTTATTTCTGAACATCAGCTTCAGAAGTTCCAGAAGTTCCAAGTTCCAAGAAAATGAACCATGAAAAATTGGAGGGTATTACCAAACAGCATACAGAGTGTGGAAGTACAAGGATGCAAAATAAATAGTTATAGTTGGTTCCTCTTCTCTGTAACTAAAGTAGAATTATGTTACATCATGATTTAAACTTAACAAGGAATAACATTGCTCCTTTTGTGGTGTGACTTTAGTTATAGAAGTGTAGTCTTGTTAAAATGTGGAGGAGAACTATCTTCCTGCTGCCTCCTGCTATATTGTGGTCGTTGAGACAAGTGACAAGATGGATGAGTGGAGGGTATGTTTCTGCACTATAAGCTAGGGGCTTGTGCTATTCCCACATTCTCAAAGAAAAGGAACTAAAAGTGACTATTGTAGTTAGTTTTGAGATATAGGATAGCGAAGTCAACTCAAGAAAGCAACAACTTCTTCTGGCACTTTGAAATGATAATTATTGCAACTATTTTTTTTTTTTTTAAAAAGAGCAACTTTACAAGCTCTGGTAACATAAAAGAACCAGTTCAGACATGGAGAATGACTGAAGACCAGATGCCTGGGCAAACATTTAAGCCCATCTTGCTGGATTTTGTTTTATGGCCTTAACATTTCATAAGCACGTTTTTGGTCAACCAAAAGCTGACACCCCCAAAACAAAACAAAACAAAGCAACAACAAATAATCAACAAAAAAGTTATACAGTTTGTGCAGACAAATCAATGCTGGAGGATGCAACTGATCTTTACCAAAAGACCTTTTCTCCCAGAGAAAATGTGTGGGAAGAAAGAGCAATCAGGTGACAAAAGGTTTTTGAGAAAGACAACTCTGTTGAAACTGTGCTAGTAAAGCTGCTAGAGAAACTTGGCATACTATTCTGAAAAAGAATGAAAATAATGACATACTGAAGTTATACATAACTGAGCAGTGGTAGGATGATGTACAGGAACCCATGATGATTCCGGTTCTGGATCTCTGAATATCATCCTCCCACTGCTCTGCATGTTATTAAATGGATTCTTCTTAAAATTAACTTTCTAAATTCATGAAAAGGAAGGCAAATGGTATATTTGAATTAATCTGGTTTCCTAACAGGCCTTCTCTTGTTCCTGAGTATGGTAAACGGCTGCCCTCAATTTTGTTCCTGTTTCTCACCTAAAGATACTTTGGAGATGCATTAAAATGGTTGATTGTTGATGTACTTGTGTGAATGAGACATGTCCGCTCTTCCACCATGTGATTATGGAACCTGTGAAGGTTGCTGAATGTGTTAGGTGTGTCCCTGTTACCTAAGTACAAAAAGTGATCAGCTGTGAGATCAGAATTCCATCTTGTGGGTGGCTTATGGTCTGTTCAGGAGCGTGTCTCACTCCACCTCTTCATGTCACAAGCCATCTATGATTAAAGATTTCTAAATTTAAAAAAAGTTATATAAGGTTAAATTGTCAAGGAAGGGGTTTAAATCCTTGCCTATGTGGTTTGTGCAGTTGGTGTGGTTCATCTCCTAAAACTACTATATATGCTAAGTGCTCAAAGTATGGTGCAATCACATTTTCAGCTTCTTTTCAGGCAAATCTATAATGGTGCCAGAGGGTGGCCACTTATGAGTCTCTTTAAAAAAGCATTTAATTTGCATATACTAATTCAGATGCATAAACATTTAGAAATAACTATTATAATTTAAGTTAAAGAACCGTACATCCCGCTGGCAGGGGGACAACTGTGATTAAGTGATCTGTGTGCCTACTCAGTCTGCAGAGTGCTTGCGCTCTTTACTTTAATTTTTTAAACTCACACTTATGAGATAGCCCTTCAAAGGGAAGATGATTCAAATAGCGGATTGTTCTCCGAGAGCTTTGTGAGTAAAGAATAGTGTTCTGTAAAGCAGGATGCATGGTCACCCCCCACCCGGCTTCCTTCAAGGTGGGCCTCAAAATGATATAATTTTTTAAAAGAAATTCTTGCACTTTGAAGCCATCACTTTCCTTCTTTGTGTGTTTTAGGTCAGATACTGGGCATTTCCAGACAAGTGGTTTCTAGCAATACTAGTCAAAAATAAAAACAAAAACAAATTGTGCGTTTTTCCTTCTTTAATGGATTTTCTCTCCAGAGAAAAAGGACAGGTGACGGCAGTAGGAAAATAGGAGAGGAGTTGCAAATGGAAGATGCTGTCATTTCTCCCTTCTGTAAAATTTGTTAAATTGAAGTAGCTTGGTCAAAAAAAAGAAGACGCTTGACTTGGAATGACCCACTCTATATTCCTTGGGTACCTGTATGCTTTACACCAAGGTAATAATAGCATTTTGGGGAAAGATATAGGAAACATTAATCCTTTGTCCTAAATCCATGGCTTCCATTTGATTTGCAGATCAAGGATATCTTGCTTCCCATTCATTTTGAATCATGAAGAGCCCTTCACAGGGGTGGTGCACTCAGTAATATATTCAAGCGTGTTGAGTTTTCATCTGTGCAACAGTGGGAGAAAGTATTACATTTCAGTTATAGTCTTCTCTGAGCAAAGTAGTCCCAAATGAAAATTAAAAATGGGCATCATGGGGTGACCAGAGAAAGGGTCCTGCCCCTTCAGAAACAACTGTGCTCTGTATTTCTACCCTAGAAAAATTGATGTGCTTTAATATCAGTTACAAAGCATGTTGTTCCTATTTTGGAGCTTTATTTCTTGATTGTTGCTGGACACGTGTGAATGTCACCTGTCCCTTCTTCCACTTATTCAGACTGTTGCTGAATGGGTTAGATGTGTCCCTATTCCCTAAGTACAAAAGGTGTTCTGCTGTGAGATCCAAATTCCATCTTTTGTTATAAAACATTCAGTATCTTCTTTTTCAAAGCAGAAATAAGCTAACAGTTCACAAAGGGAAAGACAAGCCTTGCAAAACCTCCTTTTTATTTCCAGAAGCAGGTAAGATTGGCCTGTGTTCACCAATTGCCCTCACTAAGTAGCTGTTTTCAGAAAAATGTCCCTATTTTGGGCTCTCTTCTCTCTATATGCTGGCTTTATGTCTTGATTGGATCTAGGCAAAGAAAGTAAGGGTGATTCCAAAGTCACAAAGAGTCTGTGGTGCTTCTTTAGTATATATTGCAAGATGATTCAAGTCTGCGTTGAAATATCACTCTCTTCAAAAAGAGTTTCTCATATTCCCTAAGGGACTTGTGTAGCTACTCAGAAGGGTAGCTTCATGGTCAAAGCTTCAGTGGTTTGCCTCAGTTTGCCTCATAATTTTCTCAGACGTCCTCCCAAGTTGGAAGTGGGGAGAGGATAGTAGAAGCATCCCCTGACTACCACATTACCCTCTCACTATCCCAAAAGCCTCCTCTGTCCAAAAATTCCTTTCTTTCCAACTTTTTTTAAGTTTGAGAATTGGCAGTAGTCTATGGAAGCATTCTGCTGCTTGTACATGAGAATGAATGTTTGTTGTGGTCATGGGCATGAAAGTATGCCCTGCCCCTGAATGAAGAGTGTTTGCAGGATTTTTTTTCCAGGGGAGCAAAGGTACAGTGTATGTTAGCATAATATGCAAGCATAGTGTGAGTTACCTCAGAAGGATAATAATAATAATAATAATAATTTATTGTCATTGTAAGTGTATACACATACAACGAAATTCACAGACACCCAGAGACCAGACACATGCACACACATAAAATTCCCAAACACTCCCCACCCACTAAAAGTCCCCCACTAAAAATACAAACATCTACACCGCAGGCCGAGTTACACAGTCCAACTAATTATTCACTACTGGTGGTCTTTAAGCTCATTATTAATTGCAATTATAGCTCTGGGATAAAAACTATTGAGAAAGCGTGTGGTCCGAGTCTTAATTGTTCTATATCTTCTGCCAGACGGTAACAGTTCAAAAAAGTTATAAGCAGGATGGGAAGAGTCTCTCAGGATGCTATGTGATTTCCTTAGACAGCGGGATGTGAAGATGTCATCCAGGGTTGTAGCTGGAGCCCGATGATATTCTGGGCAATTTTAATGGTTCTCTGTAGAGCTTTTTTGTCTGCTACAGAGCTACTCCCAAACCATGCCAGAATGCCATAGGTTAGGACACTCTCAATGGTGCTACGATAGTATGACAGAAGCAAATGCTGAGATAAATTTAACTTGCCGAGCATTCTCAGGAAATACAGCCTCTTCTGTGCCTTCTTTATTAGCATGTTGGCATTTATAGTCCATGAGAGGTCCTCTGAGATGTAAGTACCCAGAAATTTAAAACTACCAACTCTCTCCACTTCCTCACCGTTTATGTACAGTGGTAAATGTACATTTCTCTTCCTCCTAAAATCAATTATGAGTTCTTTAGTTTTTTTGATGTTAAGTGTGAGATGATTTTCTTTACACCATAGTATCAGTCTTTGTACTTCCTTTCTATAAGCAGACTCATTGTTCTTATTTATGAGCCCCACCACTGTCGTATCATCCGCAAATTTAATAATTGCATTGGTGTTATATAGTGGGGTGCAATCATGTGTGTACAGGGAATAGAGGAAGGGACTTAGCACGCAGCCCTGGGGAGCTCCTGTACTTAGTACCAGGGTAGAAGAATGGTGGGATCCCATCCTTACTGACTGTGGCCTATCTGTCAGAAAATCCTTTATCCACATGCAGATCTCCTGAGGTAATCCCAGGTTGATCATTTTTAAAAACAACCTATTTGGTAGAATGGTATTAAAAGCAGAGCTATAATCCACAAACAACAGCCTCGCATAAGTTCCCTGTTGTTCTAAGTGGCTCAATACAGTATGGAGTACAATGGACACAGCATCATCAGTAGATCTATTTCTCCTGTATGCAAATTGCCATGGGTCCAAAGAAGGTGGAAGATTAGCCTTAATGTAATCAGGCACCAATCTCTCATAACAGATGTTAAAGCTACTGGTCTATAATTATTGAGAGATACCACAGCTGACTGCTTGGGGACTGGCACTATAATAGATGTCTTCAGGCAAGTGGGGACTGAACACTGCAACAAGGATAGATTGAAAATATCCGTAAAAACTCCAGCTAATTCTGCAGCACAGCTCCTAACAACTCGTCCCATGATTCCATCTGGTCCAGCTGCCTTTCGAACGTTAATATTCTGGAAAGCGCGTCTCACATCTGAAATCTGCAGTACTAGTGGTTGTCTGTCGATGGTAGATTCTAGTGATGTATTATAGACAGTAGGGGCTGGAATAATGGGTCTTCCTGTTTCCACCTCAAAACGGCTGAAAATTGATTTAACTGTTCAGCCAAAAAATCACTGCTGCTACACAGACTGTAACACCGTGTGCTAGTCTACAAATTCATTAATGAATACACATAGGATTCACAGAGAGCAAGTGCTGCCCCCCCAACACCAGTCCGTATAAGAGACCTCTGTGCATTGAGTGCAAGAATCTGAACAGGCCTCTGCAAGGGTATAAGGCTTACAGAGCTTCTGGGATCAAGGACTCTGCCTTATCAGGATTCCAATGGCAGGAGCTGGGCATTCAGTGAAATTTATTTATGGCAGCCTTCTTGAGACCTTTGTACTCAATGCAGGACTTCTGGGTAATAGTGATGTTTAGGGACAGAGCTTTCTTTTCACAGATTCAGTCATACACACAAGCAGGCAAACACCTGTATAGAGCATGCATAAGTGCACAGTATCCTGTTTGGTTGCATGAATAGGATTTGTGCCCATGATGTGTAGATTCCACAGCTGGGAGCAGACTGAATGGATGACTACAATGTCTTTTTAAACCCCTGTCTTTACCCTAACATGAAATATCTTCTTCCTGGCTTACTCCCCATGTTTGCAGCATGAGATGGCCAACTTTTACGTTATTCCCTTCGGACCTCAGTAGAAGAGCTAATGCAACATCAACTGTGTGAGCATTTATGTTTGCTTGCATGGATGTCAGTGACCAGTTTCAGCTCTGAGAATGACTTTCGCTTTCACTCACATGATGAGAGAAGCTTTGAGAAATTCTGAATGTTAACCGAAGCAAAAAAGCATGAATGGTAATTGCCGCGATGGAAGACAATTCCTCTGGGACCACAAAAGAAAATTGTCTCAGATACAGCACATGTTTTTCTTGAAAGAAGGATAGCTATGTTTCATATCTAACAAGCTCATATGGAATTCTTAAGCTGTAATTGTCATGCGGCAACCATGTGCCAGGTGTCTTTGCAGAAAAAGATTGTCACATTCTGATATATTTTTTTGTTTAATGGGCCTCATGAGCTGTATCTGTATACATTCCCCCAAACTGTGATTTTTAAAAATGTAAGCATTTAGCTTGTGTTCCTGCTGCTCTGATGTAAATAGCAGCAAAATAGTTGTACAACTGACCTAAACTGCTTCTGGATTGACCATTGACATGTGATTAGTTCTTTTTCCGAGAGGTATTTATTGTAGCATATGTTTTTCCTCAACTAGGTATCATTTTGGTGTAATTGGCTACTGGAAGATACGCATAGACTCTCATTTTCTTTTTGTCAAGTTTAATGTTGAAACTGTATGTGTGGCCTGAAGTTCTGCATATCCAAAAGAAGAGAGAATGGTTTCTTCCTCTCTTCAGTCTTCTGAAGTCTTCTGAAGAGTGGACTTTTCATGCTAATTTATTGCTGATACCTTTCATTTTGCATCATTTCCATGCAGGATCAAAATCTCAGAATTGTTTGTGGAATACCATCATTGGTGGCCTTACAGAAAATCTGAAGGAGAAACAGAAACCAACCATTGCTTTAGATCAAAGACCTCCTGAAGAAATCTTAGCAGAGGAGTTGCCCCCAGTGGAAAGTCCTGAAGCTCTGGTGAAAACCTCATTCAGGTTTGATGAATGTTAGATGTGCCTTTTTATTAGTTTGATTTTCTATAGTCAATAGAGCTGAGTGGAATAGCCAAAAATAGCAGGTGACTTAGGTTATCTAAGCTCTTCTGGTAAGAAATGTGGCCTTTGAAGCCTGTTGATGGCACTTTCATATATTGGTAATTCTGGATCTATGTAAGCATATAAATAATTGTATGCTGAAATAATTAAAAATCCTCTTAATATTGTAGGAAAATCTTGGAGAAGGTCTGGTGTGATATGATTATGTTAAAATTGACAGAATTTCTAAGAGGAGAAGAAAGGAGTGTGCATTTACACCATTTAATAAAAAAAGATAAAAAGTGTATGAACAATGTATTTGTTGAAAAAAACTTTATAGATATTGTTGTATATTTGTAATAACAGATATTTGTAATGACACACATGTTGTCATATCAGAGTTTTAGTTCCTTTTTTGTGTAAATATTTTGTTGCAGTTTCTTCTGCTCCCTTGGCTTTTCTAGCTTTTAAGGCCAGTTTGAATCATTTGAAGTTATTGAGCATGGATTTGAGTTATTGTCTTCATGTTTCATTTAAGTTTCTCCCTAGAGTTTTTGGACTGCAGATCGCAGAAGCTTCAGATAACATGATTGTATGCCAATGCATCTGGAAGGACGCAGGTTGGGGAAGGTTAAGTGATCATGGTTTCTCTCCCACCCAATCCAACCTAGGACATTTTATTGGATAAATTTATATGTGAATCCAGTACTTCCTTTTATCACAGTAAAAGCACCTGTTGTGGAAGGCTGAGTTAAGGAGCACTTACTGGTTAACCTTTTTTGTGCTAGTTTTGTGTTAACTGCATTCACATCCCTGAGTTTGCAATATGTTTACTGCACCCTAAAAGAATTATTGATATGGACTTCTGCTGATGTTTATGTAGAAATATCAGGAATTTTTAGTCTTCAGGAATGTTTTGAAAGGTATTCTTTCTGACTAAAGGTTCTTAATCAACGCACCATTATGTAAATAATGAAATTCTGTCTTTAATTTATAAGAAACTCACTTTTTGTAGGTCTGCAGAATTCTAAGGGTAATAAAAGAATTCTTGAATTTGTAAGCCAAGCAGGCTGAAATGTAAGGGAACTTCAGAAATTCAAATTAATGTAACTATGTAATTGATTTTGTCAGCCACAAGTACTTGTATAGAGAATTACTAGTGATTTTCAAGCTGTCTGTAGTCAAAGTTATCACTTTTATTAATGCTAATTCATTTCACTGACTTTCCAAACCACTATTCTGATAGCGATTTTCTAGCTCATATAATTGTGGCTGAAAATAGACAAAGATTTTTCTTTTGATTTGTACCACAGTTCCCAATATTTATTTTGCTGTTTCTTCAGTTGACTGTACAGTGGTGCCTCACATAGTGACATTAATCCGTGCAGCAAAAATTGCTGCTAAGCGATTTCATCGCTATGCGGTTTTAAAAAGCCCATAGAAACGCATTAAAACCTGTTTAATGGGTTCCTATGGGCAAAAAACTGACCTTAAAGTGAAGATCCCCCATATGGCAGCCATTTTCGCTGCCTCTTAAGTGAGGAATCTGTCCCTTAACACAGCGGGCGGCCATTTTTTTACCCAGTGGCCATTTTGGAACCACCGACCAGCTGTTAAAAATCATCGCTTTGCGATGATCGGTAAGCAAAACAGGGACCTGATCATTGCAAAGCGAAAAAACCCCATTTAAAACATCGCAATGTGATCACTTTTGCAATTGCAAAATCTTCGTCGCTATGCGGTTTCATCACTAAATGGAGCGCCCGTTAAGCGAGGTACCACTGTACTGTATATGTAAAGAGGTATTCAGTGCATTTTGTTCAGTCAGCAGAGCTTGAAATTTTTGTAGCATCTCTGCTGGTATAGTATTCCTTTGCTTTCTGGCTTTGGGCACTGGGGCATGTTCTGATCACATTGAGGATAATATCTTCAATAGGACAGGGTGTCATGGTTCAGCATTACTCCCTCCAGGTTCATATACCTACAGTCCAATCCTTCTTATGTTTCCTAAAAATGTATTTTAAAAAAAGTTAATACGCCTGTTCAGCACTAAATCGGATCCTAAGTCAGCCAGGAGTGCTCGAAGAGCCTTCAGAGAAAAGCCCTTTGAGTATGCAACTGCATGAAGCACAGGCATGCACACACATTAACTCTCTCATACACATGCCATCCTTAATGGACTTGTAGAGGGAGAAAAGACCTTCCATAAACACAAAGAGGAGCAGTAGGGAGTCCTCGACCAACCCCTCTTTCTCTCTGATTGGAAGCACTAAATGGTATCTGAGCAACACTGGGAGAAGGGAGGAGGAGGGAAACTGAAGTGTGTGTGTTAGGCAGTGCCTAGCATCACTGACCTCAGCTCAGAGCTGTTTTAGATCAGCATTACATCACATGCAAAACATAAAAAAAAGGGAAAGGAATTTGAATGCCTAGTTACAGGCTATAGGAATAGGAATTCGGTGTGCTGTATGTGTATACATAACCACTTTTGTTATGAAAAATTCAAGTTAATTTATGTGTCCATATCAGCTGTCTGTGTGTGAATTGGCAGAAGTAACTGGGTAAAGAACCAGTGAAAGGGATGGACTATCAGTGGGCTCAATCTTTCTGACAAAAAAAAAAGCCCTGCTTTATATCAGGTTGGGCTTAAAATAACCTGATTAGATTTTAGTTTACATACAAGGCACAAATGTCTGTGCCTGGAGAGTGAGTTTTTCTGCTCCTCTGGCAGAGGTCTCTTTGTTTTTGAGGTGCATGTGGAATCAATACCTTGGAACCAATTCCACATGTGTGTATGCCTTTGCTGCTTTTTAAAAAAAATTCTATCTGATACAACACTATACCAGATAGCAGGAAATAAAAACTATTAAAGTACCGTCCTTGACTCCCCCCCTCAATTGCCCCCCATCCATGGAATCACTTGCCCCGTTCATGATCACCTGCCCAATTGCACACTCACCTGCCTGAGTCATCCCCATCCACCTGAATTGCCTCCCTATTGCCTCTCCAATCACTACCATTGCCCATCTGATTTCCCCCACCAACTATATCTCCCCATTGCCTACCTCATCAGCCCCATCACCTACTTGCTCCGTCTGCCAGCTGGATTGCCGCATCCCCCCGAATCCTGCAGGATCACCCACCTGATCACCTGCCGGCCGTCTATGACTTACCTTCTTTTTTTGACAGCAGCATGGACAGTGTGTGCAAACACACACTGATTCAACACTTTTGTATCAGGGCTAAAGTCCACGTGGCTCTTGCCCGAATCCAAAAGTCTGCTGGTTTATCCAGGCAGTGGAGATCTGCTCAGTGTCTCAATGTGTGCTCACACTGGCAATTTGAATCGATTTCTGTTCAGACTTTTAAAAAATCAGGTCCACGTCATGTGGTATTTGAACCAGTGGCTGCATTCACATGCACTGAATGGAAATCAATTTCTGGTGATTTAAACCAGCTTGGGTGTCTATACAGCTGAAATTGACTCATTTGAATTGATTATTGAAGCAAGGTATTTAAAAAAGCCCCTGTCGGCCGACTGGAAAACATAATTTTGCAGCCCATATATTGTGTGAGCTATTGTGTGAATGATGAAATCTAAATCAATTTAAATGACACCTACAGTAAATGTGGTTCTTAATGACAGTGTGATTATAGCTTCATTTTGGACAAAAATACTTAATTAATATTTAAAATGCAGTATTAAAGTTCCACTAGAGGGTGCAAAGTAACAACGGATAGATATACATGAATTGTCTCCTGGCACATGGTATAAATTTCAAAGATATGAAAGATGGGTCAGTTTTATTTCTGAAGTGCTTTCTGTCCTGATTCAAGGCAACATTGTAATGCGTAATTTCAGCTGTAAAGCATGGTGTTACACTGACGTCAAAGTATCATTTTTTAGTCCAAATTTACATATAGCACAAATTACAGTATGTGGGTTTACAAGAAAAAAATTCTAAAACCTACAGGCAATATCTTTATTACAACTCTTCAAATGCACACAGAACTGTGAGCAATGTTTTGAACTCTATAATTCTTTCTCAAGTGTTTTATATTATAAAAAGCAAAGTGCAGGAGAAGAGGAGGGAAGAAAGCTGCATCAGATGAAGCACATAGGTTCCTTGGTGGGTGTGATCTGAAATCTGCCTTTTGTATTAGAGCATCTACTCTATTTAAGTCTGCATCTCTTCTTCTACTCCATCCTTAGACTTTGGAAATACAGACCTCATGACCAAATAAATGACGTTGTCCATGTTGATGTTACTATTGCATCTTCATTTCTGTTCTAAGTTGCACTTCCTAATGTCCTAATTTAGTCTGTTCCATTACAGACACACACTCCATGTGCACAAGGACAGAAGTTTCAGGGGTTGAGCACCTGCACAGAACTCAATTTTCTTAAAAGGAAGTCACTGGAGACATGTGGTGTTTCTGTAATATAAGACGTATTTACACGCTCATATAAAGGCTAAACATAAGAAACAGTTCAAAGCAATAACATTCCAACAGCGTCCGAGGGATCCCATAGTCCTATATGATTGCCAAAGTAGTTTTTCTGCTTCTTTTTCAGCACTTTGCCAGGATGCCACAACATTTTTGTCTTTACAGTATTTTTATTTTGTTTTTGCCTGATCTTTTGCTATCGCTTTCATGTCCTAATCTTTCTCTCCAACTTGGCTTCCTAGAAAATCTGTCTAGTTCCTAGGGTTTTTTTCAAAAATTTCTATTTTCCCACCATAAAAGTAGGCAATTGAGATAAACAAATGTGTGCCAGATTCCCTGCTCCCATCCTTGCTGAACCTCTCAATTCTACTGTGGCCTCAGTTTCTTTACTGTGTGCTGTTATGCCTACGTGAAGAAAATAACTGTAGATCTGATGTAGTTGTGACTCATTGCCAGAATGTTGAACAATTATTTGTTTGGACTGCAACTCCCAGAGTTCCCCAGTGAACATG